CGCTATGACATTTGAGGATACCTATATTTACAATAACTCTGAAATTCTGTAAAAATAACCGAAAAATAGAATATATGGCCTCCCAGCTTCCATTGGCCGAAAATTATATTAGGGCGATGTTGTATTGTAAAAGCATATTCCTTAGAATATTATTTAAAGTTATAAAATATTATTCATAGATAATATATGGATTGTTAAAAAAAGGATACATGTTTATGTACAATGCAATTATTATTAATGTTTAAAAAAWCTTAATGTGTAGAYGATTAAAAAATTTAACTAAATGATTCAAAAACTAAATCAGAAAAATGTTAAAACAATGATAACAGATTTCGTTACCTACATTGGTGCTTTTGGTTGATAGTCTTTTAAGCGCAATATTGTGCACTCAAAGTTCATTTRTTATATTTACAACAACTTATCGTGTAATTAAAAACTATGCCTACCTCACAGTTCTCAAAAATCGAATAGTATCGTCGTTTCTTGAATTATTGGCGTAGGTGATTATTTTTTAGACTTAATTTTTTTGTACACGCATAAATATTAAATACTGTGTTCAAATCGATCACGTTTTGACCTAATGCGAGCGCAGTTTAAACTCGAAACCTGTTTTAACTGCTCGTAAACATTATGAAATACATATAATAACTGTATATTATATTTGTTCAATCGTCATATTATTATTTTATCAGATCACTCAGATCACGATTGTACTATATCCAATTATTTACATATTATTATGTTGTATGTATTATTAGCTTTATAATATTTTCCTCGTATTATTGTCAATAATAAAAATTATTGTAGATGTACCTACATAATAAGGACGTACCTATAACTAAACTAATTTTCTACGTGCAGATTGTGGTGGGCCAACAAAATTAAATTATGTATATTAGTGTAAAAGTGTAATAATAATATTATGAATAATATTGTTCTGATAGCGATTGTTTTGAATAATAATCACATTATAGTTTTTTACGAGCCATATTACACATAATTGTCCGACAATCACGAACCGTGATTACATTTTTAGACTATAGTCCGCAGAATACTATTACACATAGTATAGGTATACTTGCACGGTATATTATATCTAATATTATTCTATTATAAGAGTTTCTGATTACTATAATATACATGTCATATTATTATTATCGTATAATATTCCAAAACACCACCTGTAGGTTGACTAGTCGTTTTGGTTTTATTTTTCGACATTGCAGTTAATTGATTGTACACCGCACTTATTTTAATTTGATTGGCGTAGTTTTTTTTTATTATTATTATCRTTGGTAATATAATACAAATGAAGTCGACTGAGTAAATCTTGGCAATCGAAGTAGGTACAAACCTTGCAATTTCCGCATATCCATATCATATAGGTACATATAACATCTATGTATATGTGTTTGGGAGTTTGTAATTATTTGCAGTATCGCAGTTAGTCGAAAACTGTGTTTGTAATTTACTCAAAAGCGAGTATAATAATATGACGTATTCGATTATTTCGTCGGTGCCCTTGTTGACGTATTCGTGGGCTTAATAATTAATAATGTATTATACAATGTAAGACATAATAAGCGTCAAAACGAGATAAGCAAAAAATAAATCGATTTGTACAAAAGTGCCATCCCGTGCAGATCAATGCGTTATGTGTGCTTACTGCTTATTCGGTTATTAGATTTTAAATTATGGTTAGTTGAAATCGTCAAACATTATAAAAAAAAATAATGATCTTAATCACCCGATAAATGATTTCTAGCGGAAGAAGTGTTAGAGCTTTTGTATTTTAACATACCTGTTCCTGTTGTTAGTACATAATTGGTCGCCGCATGTATAGGCTATACCAAAAATGAATTTCACAAAAAGAGTTACAAACAAAGTAATTTTATTTAATGAACAAAAATATAGATATTTAAGATAAATGACCAGTGGGTATGAGTAATGACGTGTCATTAAAGGTACGAAAAAAAATGTCCTATGATAAATGCATCTATATATGACTATAATTTTTCGTGCTATTACCGGTGACTTATACGATCGTGACGCACAGTGACATAATATTTTGATTTCGTTTATTTTTATTATTATTTTATAATCACGATTTTAATTGTACTCGTCATTATTTATTATTGACGATTTCAAAAATTCTGTGTCGACTATAAAAATATTAATATAAGCGCAAATTATATATTTTATGTTTTATATCTTTGGCTCATTTTGTCATAATATATGTATATATTGGCTCTTATGTGCTACTGAATACTGATTTTAGCGTTAATGATTTTTACGCCTGTGCCGTTTATGCAGTCATTAGGTAATTAATATTTATAACATAAAATTAAAAATCATTATGATAATATATGAATTATAGTAAGATATTAATATTTAATAATATTAATAGTTTCCCGAAACTACATTCGTTTAAAAAGAGATACACTTTGTGTTTAATGTACTGGTGAGCCTCTACAACAAACGTACCTAGTTGTGTCCCCACATTCCATATTAAAATAATTATAATATCGTATATAACTGTATAAGATACAAGCTCTGCATTATAACAGAGGCGCAAATAAAAATTTTTGTTTCGAGGAGAGCGAAAAAATTTATATTCAGGATAAGTTCTCAAAAACTTGGCATGAAAGAATAATAATTGAAAAACTAAATGGACCCAGATCATATTTAGTTAAAGAAAAATGTGGCAGGTTATTAAGGAAGAATACCAGCTTTCTTCAGAAACTAAGGATGTGTAGACAGAACAACATAGTGAGTGAAAAATAAAAGTCTTGCTAGTCAAGTATTATAGAACATTACAACAAAATGTCTTGACAAACAAATCAAAAAGAATATAAAACCAGGATAAGTAGAAAGGTAGTCGAACCTCAAAAATTAGGTTTATGGTTACGTTCTAATTTAAATATTAATAATGATTGTATACATATTTTCATACACTTTTACGTTAAGTAAATTATTTCGGTAAAATTAACTTTAATCAGCCGGAATTGATTAAAATGTACTTCGATAATAATCTGAAAAATACTTAAAATAGTCTAAAAAAAAATTKCATCAAACGCTATCCAACTCTTCATACTTCCCGTGTTTTAATTTTTATCGTTTGCTGCCACCTATAACAAGCTACTTTGTTCTATTTCATGTCTGTTTTTCAATAAAGTTCTTAAAGTGGAAGGAGGTATTCTCAGTTCATTAGCAATATCCTTTTGTTTTTTTCTTTCAGTCAATCCTTCATCGTACCTACTTCTWCAAAATGTCGAGTTTATCCGAAATCGATAACGCTTAACGTTTTATATCACTAACCATAACGAAATGACGGTTATTTACATACGATCGAACAGCACTTACTAAATCTCATGATACGATGAAATACAGTAAAACTGTGATGATAAGTAAATAAGCCTAACCTAAAATAGGTATAGCGATAAAAAAAAAACGATGAGAACACGTATAAGACGTAAAATTCTATTTTAATTTTCACAAAACTACTAAAATTTATCGTAATCTGTTGAATAAAAGAGCGTTTTACCCGATYAGACAGAGAAAAACTGAGCGCCTTAACAGGGGGTTTTTACATTGACTAGTATAGGAAATGGCTGAGGACCGACGGAAAACAGCGTCTTATKCGGGAGAGTGTCTTAAGCGAGTTTTGCTGTATGTATATTTTATTTTTATTAGATACTTCAAGAAATTCAGTCTGAATTTGCCTTAAAATTAAATAATAATATTATATGAACTTTAGATTAATTCAAGCAATGTGTTCATAGCAATGTGTCTTTTAGTCGTGTTCTTAAACAGCATTTAAGCAGTATGGATATTACAAGGGGGGGATGAAATATATTTATGGACGTAAAATTCATAATTATTTCGCTAATCGAAATTTAATGACCGTGACGTGATTCGTGGGTACATCATTTAATAATAATAATAATTGTTAAACTAGATCTATTGTAATTACTTTRTTTGTTAATTTCGTTTTATAATATTGTCTTTATGATTAAAATTAATTTAACAACGAAGATACCGAAATGTTCACGAGTTTACACGATTTTCATATTACGTTGACGAGCTTTCAAYAACAAATTTCGTTTTATAATTAATAACCTATCACCCTGYATGCAATAATGCAATAGTCAATTATTATTATATAAGTCCAATATCTATAACAGCATTTCGTTCAAACCCTATAATTAGACTGGTAAAAGGCAAAAGGGTCTTAGGGTTCAATTATAGATATTAAGTTCAATAATTTGATTGTACAAGCACTATACTATTCTTCT